CCCTGATCTTCAAAGGAATTGTTATGCCCACAGACTGATTGATCACCTGATGTTCTGGTCGGTGGGTATTTGGACAAATGGATAGATGGCTGGAGAGCCCTGGGGATGGTGCTGCCCGTGAGAAGATCTGGAGAACGACAGGAGTATGTTTTCCATGAGACTGATCTAGAGAGAAGAAATAGTTACAAGGCAAAGGTTCACAACTAATCATTTCACTAGCATCTGTCACAACGTGGGGAGGTTATGCAACACACTTAAAGTCACTTTTTTGATCAAAGTATATTGAGATGAATTGTCAAACAGGATATAGCACCTCTAAAATGGATGTGTGATGTATCTTGTCCCTGATCAAATACATTAAATAATCAGAGGTACCCTTCACAACCTTATAAATTCAGTATCCTGTGGCCCCAAAGTAATGTATAATTCTATTGCTCTTTCTTCTTGGACTTTCACAGCTGTTTTTCAGTCACATAGCCAGATGAAGACTCTAGACCAGATCTCCTTGCTTTGTGCGAGGCAGAGAATGTTGAGTTTGGATCTCTGAGTATTTTCTTCAGTTGACAGAGGAGACACACCATGGAGAGTACTAATCAGACCTCATCTGTGACAGAGTTCATTCTTCTGGGACTCTCGGCCCACCCAACTCTGGAGAAAACCTTCTTTGTACTCATCTTGCTGATGTACCTGGTGATCCTGCTGGGCAACGGGGTCCTTGTCCTGGTGACGGTGTCTGTGTCCCGCCTGCACACGCCCATGTACTTCTTCCTGGGGAACCTCTCTGTCCTGGACGTCTGCTACACAACCTCCTCCGTCCCCCTCATTCTCGACAGCTTCCTCACTCCCAGGAAAGCCATCCCCTTCTCAGCCTGTGCTGGGCAGATGTTTCTCTCCTTCGCCATGGGAGCCACAGAGTGTGTGCTCCTGAGCATGATGGCATTTGATCGCGATCGCTACGTGGCCATCTGCAACCCCCTTAGGTACCCTGTGGTCATGAACAGAGCTGCCTATGTGCCCATGGCTGCCGGTTCATGGGCAGCTGGAAGTGCTGCCTCCTTGGTTCAAACATCTCTGGCAATGAGGCTGCCCTTCTGTGGGAACAACATCATTAACCACTTCACCTGTGAGATCCTGGCTGTCCTGAAGTTGGCCTGTGCTGACATCTCTATTAATGTGATCAGCATGGGGGTAACAAATGTGATCTTCCTGGGGGTCCCAGTCCTGTTCATCTTTGTCTCCTACATCTTCATACTCACCACTATCCTGAGAATCCCCTCAGCAGAGGGGAGGAAAAAGGCCTTTTCCACCTGCTCTGCCCACCTCACAGTCGTGGTTGTCTTCTATGGGACCATCCTCTTCATGTACGGGAAGCCCAAGTCTAAGGACCCACTGGGGGCTGACAAACAGGACCTTTCAGACAAGCTCATCTCCCTCTTCTATGGGGTGGTGACCCCCATGCTCAACCCCATCATCTACAGCCTGAGGAACAAGGACGTGAAAGCCGCTATGAGAAATCTGGTATTTCAGAAACGCTTTACCAAGTAATTGTGGGAGAACAGATATCCTCATGGTTCTGTGCTTCTTGGCTCCTTTCACCCCAGAACCTCAGAAGACAGTCTCCTCATAAGAAGGTACATGTGAGGCATGATTACCAGAAAATCAAACTTAACATGTAACAGTGAATTTTAGGTGCTACTAGACCCAACTTCTAAAAATGCTGAAAACTAAAGTTTGGAGTGTGTGTGGCTTGAGGAGATGGAAGTAGACTGCTACTGGAGAAAAGAAAAAGAAAAAGTCATGATTTTTCTCAC